TGCAGTCTCTGATCTCAATATATGCAGAAGAGATTTACTTTTTTACCATCAAGCCAGCTTTAAAGCTGAAACTGTATGAAAACTGTTGTATGTAAGAAACTGTATGTAAGAAAACAAGCCTTGGCCTGCAGTAAAATTCATTCAAGTTTGTTATTATTTTGAAGATGCTTGGTTTCTAAATACATTTTATATTCATAAATCAGTATTCATTTCTTAACTACAAAAGCAGTAATATTTTACTATTAGTAGGAACCCTTGTTTGTCAATCATTTCTTCACAAGATACTGTGTCAAGGAGATCCACTGACAAGAAATCTCATAACTGGTGAATAATTTTCATGGTGAAACTTCAACTGTTAATTGTCTCCATCCTGCTTACAGAGTACATCCCTCAAAGTCACATGTCTCTTTTGTCAGGCCTACAAAATATATCCACATTTGTGTAATTATTTTGATTACACACTCTGGAAGCAGGAATGCTCAGAGATGCCTTGCCAATTGTTCTAAACAGGGAAACCATATGGGACCAGTAATTTTATTTCATTTTGCTGTCAATGGTTATTGCAAGATAACTATGAAAATTAATTACTACAGTTCCATCTAAAGATTAATTTCCATATTTTACCTATTTTTTTTTAATATAAAAAATGAAATTTTATCAGGATTAAGAAGCAAAAAGCTGCATAAAGTTTTGGAAATACAGGTGGTAATAGTTATTACCCTCAATCTTTGTGAGGTAATTAAGAACAGCATCAACTTACTCATCCATAAAAAACAATGTATTTCTTTAGGAATATGAAATTTTCATCTGAATCACCATTTATTCCGCAACAGTAATGTTTTAGCCAAACATCCACTTCAAAATGTGGCTCAACATCTCAATCTGATACATTTTAGAATGGAATATTACTACCCTGTAGAAATTCTTACACCTTCCAAAAATTACCACAACTTTTTAGTTTGATGTTTCTAGGGAGCTGCTTTTCTTGTGGTTTTGTTGGGTTTTTTTCTTGCTTTGTTGCATGCTTTTAATTGTGACCATCAATTCCATTTTTCAGATTCAGATTTTCATCAGACCTAGTAGCTAAAACAGAAATCAAAATATTTGGGTGCACAACATGAGTAAATAATGTCAATAAGTAGTCACAGTCTCCTGTTCGTAACAAAACAATGACAATCTTTCCCTGGTACCTCCCTTTAGAAATGACATCAAGACAAAACATGGAGAGAAAGCTATCAGAAGTTGAGAGCATTTTCCACTCATGAACAAACACAAATACATTCTGTTTAATCTAATACAAAATCAGCACAGAATCTGCTAGATTTTAGTACGTTTTCAAGAAATAAGCCATACCATTTTTGTAAGACAAAAACTAAATTAACTTTCAAATGCATCCCCAACATCCCTATGCAAACAAGTGACAGAAAGTTTTCATTCTCACAACTGTGCTATTTGCAAAGTCTAAGTGGGAAAAAATACAGTACATAAGCAGGAAAAGAATGTTAGAGATCCTTGCCAGACTCCACAGTCTCCAACAGATTCTGAATCAAGACCAGAATGAACAGCACAATCAAGAGGGAAAAGGTCTGTCATGGGACTCACCCAGCCAAAATGGCTTGAGATAGGGTGTCTACAAGGAATGCAACAACATTAGCACTGAAGCCATTTATCAGAAGTACTTTAAAAGAATCGCTGCTGAACAGATGTCTTGAAAACATATTCCCTGAAGAAATTTTCATTGCTCATAGTATACTGCCTGAAGAAACTCTTGCTCTGCATTTTAGGACAGTGTTACCTTGTGGGCTACCATGAGGGCCTGTTAAAACACATCCACAGAGCTTGAGCAATTATATGGTAATTTAAACACATCAGCTTCTTGACAATTATTGCTTTCTCTGTAAAACCTCAAGAAAGCCAAAGAAAGGAGCTTTATCTGTCACCAACACCTTAAAGCAGCCAGCCTGCCTAAACAACCTCCATTGTGCACTACCCTACACAATGAAGCATCCACCAAGTAACCTGTGTTGGAAGCAAGAGAAAAAAGCCAAATAGCTGAGGAACCCAACAAGCAAGTGAACCATGGACACAATCCGGACTCGAAAAGAAAGGTTGTTTTCCTACATGCTCCTAATGACCCTTTTGCTGGTTGCAACACCTTCTGCAGGGCCAGCCTCATTACATGGCCAAATGTTCATCCTGTCTCTTCCAAAACCAGCCCCCCCAGTCTAATTCTCCTGAATCCCAAAGCAATTCTCAAGGGTGCAAATGGCAGCAGGTAAAGTTGTGGAGACTAGAAAGCCATCCAACCCCCACCCATGTTTTAGTAAGCCCTCTGCAGTAGAAGGCCACGTGTGTTGGCTTTTCTCCTTCACTAGATAGAAATTTCTGTTCTGCTGGAGTGGACAGCAACTACCAAAAGCCTCTTTTCACTATATTCAGTAACAGAACAGCATTCATTTGAAATTGCATAAGTGCAGATGTTTCTTATACAGGCTATTTACAGATAGACATTTCAAATCTCCAGCAACTGCCACCATCCTCTTCTTTCCTTTTGAAGAAAAATCCTTCATGTTTCCACTATGCCAATCCAGTCTCTCACAGAGAAAGTAAATACCTAGAACCTCTCAAACCAATCAAAATTTTTAAGACTTTGCTTTCTGCTTGTTTTCTTTTATTTATAAGTCTCCTTTCAACAGTGTTTAAAAAGAAAATCTTCATCGTTTTTCCCTGGATGAACAGGAACTTTTGGCAAAAACATACTGTAAACAGCCAGATTACAGGACATTCTGGCCACTTTGAGTAGGAGTTTCCACAGCTAAGGTTCTAAAATTTTAAAAATTCCATGAATATCCAGCTACTAAAGCCTTCACTCAGAGTTCACCAAGCTTCAGTGACCCTGATGAGCACAGCAGCTTTGGCATGGCAGAAAGGCAGGACATGAGGTAGCCTAATCTCAGAAAATTAAAAGCTTTGAAGATTAAGAGCAGGACCTTGAAATGACCCAGACAGAAAAAGAGAGAGACTAAATGGTTTCTGCAGCCATTCCCTCCCAGACAGCAAGCTGCTGTTAAGCTCCCAAGGTCTGCAGCCAGAAGGTCCAGCTAAGGAGCACTCCAGCTCAGTGTTCTGGTCTCAGAACTGCAAGGCCCAAAAATGGAGTTTAATCTGCTAGAAATACAGGACAAAGGAAGACATTACTGACTGCATTTGCTACATTATGTCTAGAATATTCCGTTTTTCTGAATAACACCACATAGACTGCATTTACCGTGAAGTAACAAGGTTAAGTCCTACGAGAAGCTTATCCCACATACTTCCCAAAGCTCTGATGGTTCTTGCTTATCTTTTCTTCTCTCACAAAACATGTACAAAAAATGAAATGCAGAAATCCATCTGAATCCTCACCAGTACAAAATTTCAAGCAGCAGTTCCATGTTTTTTGTTTTGTTAGGTTTTTTTGCCCCTGGAATAGCCACCACAGAGAAAATTATAATTATGTTTCAGGAACAAATCATATAATTGATTTTACATGCCAAAAAGAAGCATAAAAATAAAACAAGGTGGACAGTAGCTTGCCATTTCAAGAGCAAAGTCTGGCAGGAAAAGCACCATGTGGTCTCTCACTTGCCAGATGGTTTGGCAGTGCCAAATTACTACTGTGGAGTGTTAAAAGTAGTGAAGTTAAAATTATCAGAATTGACACAGAGACACCAATGGAAGGGAAAAAATGTGACCAAAGAAAATCCTTTCAATTACTTGCATTCAGCTCATTATAAAGTTAGTTGGAAATATGAACTTGCTGTTCTTTGCAGTGACTTTTATCACCTATGCACAAAACTGAAGACTATATCAATTTCTCAACACTCCTATTGCATAGGAAAGGAGGCTCAGTTCAGCTTGTATTGGCTACTCTGTCTTTCAACAGACTCTCTTCTAAATGGTTTCTAACAGAACAGTTTTTTATATTGTAATGGTTATAAAACATGCCCCAAACTGGTATGTGTAAATAAGACATACACAAATGCACACACATGAATATCTGGAAAATGTTATTTAAAATTCTTCTCCACAAAAAATAATCTTCAGAGGCACAGTTCAGATTTATAAGGCATATTCATCAAAGGCAAATCAGCTACCAGAAGTGGAGAAGAAGTATAAGTAAAAGGGCTGTATCTCCTACTGTTAACAAACTCTGACCAATTTAAAATTCAATTAAACACACCCATAAAATAATCACAACTATCCAGTCCAATATAGTAACCAGAAAGACAAAAATAGATCTAGACTTTCTGTTCATTCTACATCTTAAGTAAGACAATCACCTGAAAGATCCAGAAAAGGAAAATTCTTCAAAAAAACCAAATCTCCTATGTGCATTTACACAAACACACACTGATGCTAACTTCTGCTTTCACTTTCAGTTCTCAAAGAGATGATTAAGGAAACTGTGTCATAGCAATGCATGTGTGCAAGCAATAACTAAATAAGAGAAAAAAGCAAGAGAGGAGAATATTAAAAACAACAAACCCATGCATTCCCATCCCTTGGACCGGCTCAATCAATCCCAGGAGTAAAAAAAGAAACCAATACAGGTATTTTCTTACATAAATGGAGGACTTAACTTATCAAGGCAAAATAAATTGAGTTTCTAACTTCAGGAACACCATCCCAGTATAATCCTCTACATGACTAATATCATAAGAAAGTTCTCAGAGTTCTCCAAACAAACCACCCTCATTGATCAAGTTTTAAAAAACTATAAAATCTTACTAGGCTAATCAAGATATTAATATTCATATATTTATTTAAGGTATGCCATGTTTTAGAGAAACTGTAAGAGTGAATGTAGAGAGAGAAGTCATAAAATTCTTAATCATACAAAGGGACAGACATACAGGCATACAAGGGAAAGATTTTTATCTTTTCTCTTCCTATGCTGACCTGAACAAATGAAGTTAACCACATGCTTATTTATAAAAATTTAGTAAACCTTTACTTACCCAGCATCCTCCTGGAAGCCTTCTAGTTCATCTCTTTGCTCTGCTAGGGTGGATTCTAGATCCAGATAGGTACCATTATGAGACAATTGCAGGGTGCAGTCATCAAGCTGTAGAACAAAATTCAGACCATTATATTACAGCAGTCTTTCTCTCTAACAGACCTCTAACATTGCCCTCCCATTTACCACATCCCCATACAAGATCTCCCTAAAACAAACAATATGTGGGAGCAGGTAAGAAGAATTCTTTGGTGATTTACTCAATACCAAACCCAAGTTCCCCAGACCATGATTGCTAACAACAATATCAACACAACTAACAAACACAGTAAAATTTATTAGAACATACAGAAGAAGATTAGAGGGCTTTAGCACAGAGACTTTAAAATGTAATACAGAAAGAAAAGTTCATTTCAATGTATGTCTAGGATATAAATTACTGTTCTCTGTTCTTACAATACAGTTGTAAGTAGAGTTTCTGAGCTCCTGGATGAAGACAGAAGGAAGAAAGAGCTGTTTTGTGAGCCACTGAATGACCCCTGTGAGAAGAGATATATCCAAGAGACAACGCAAAGTGTGGCAGCCAAGAGCTGGAGTCTTACAGTAAGGGTGAGTACAGTCAACCAAGTCACAGATTTTTCTGGCATTTTGCTTTTAGGGCCAGGCACTAACCAGCCTCAGAGGGTACAGGAACAACATTCCTAGGCACTGGCTGGAGGTGGACTGGAAACCTGTGCCAGCTTCCTACAAAGGTACTGAGGTAATCAAGGACCAGACCTGAAAGCAAAAATCTGCCCACAATTGGGCTTATGAGGGAGGGATTAATAAACTGTCTTTATTTCTTTTCTGTTTTTCCTCATCTTCAAGTTTTCCATTAATTGTTCCAGCTGTTAAAAAGAGCCATATTTGACCAAAGCTAGAAAATAAATTTTCTGGGGTTTTATTTGCATGGTGCTCATCACAATAGAAGACCTAGGATCAATCATCCCAAAACTCTGGCTAACTCTTTGACCAGGAACACAAAATAGTTACTGATCAAGAGGGAAAACTAAAGAAGCTGGGAGAAGAGCTAGAAAGGAACATGAGCTCCTTTCTCACCATGACATAACTCAGTGTCAAATAACAAATAATGAGGAAAAAAACCTTCCCAGGGCAGGAGAACAGGACAACATTTACCAAGGGGCAGGGCTGTCCTGCCTCAGCACTAGGGTTAAGTGACCATCTGCTCAGAGAATCCAGCCCAGAAGTACAGAAATGGACATCTGTGAGTCCAGGTGAATGCGCTGCTGGGACCGTCATGTCCAGCACTGCACTGGGGGTCCTTTTGTAACTGCTTCCAAGATCACAAATACTGTAAGCTCCAGATGTGTTGTACTGCTAGATACAAAATCCAGTCTGGCAGCCAAACAGAACAGAGAGCCATTAAGGCTGGAGAAGACCTCTATGATCATTGAGTCTCACTGTTAACCCAGCACATGTTAACCACCAAAGCATGTTCCTCCATGCCACAGCCACATGTCTTTTGAACACTGCAGGGATGGCAATTCCACCACTTCACTGGAGAGCCTGTTCCAACACCTGGTCACTCTTTCAGTGAAGAAATTTTTTCTAATATCCAATTTAAACCTCTACAGGTGTAACTTGAGGCCATTTCCTCTAGTCACAGAATCATAGAATGGTTTGGGTTGGAAGGAACCTTAATCACCTACTTCCAACCCCCTGTGTCATGGCACAATGGGTTCCACTTCCTCCTGCTGGTTGCCCATGCTGCATGCGTATGTGTAGATGCACTTCATTTGGGTGATAAATCCCACTGCCTTTTCATGGGAAGAAGCTCCAATTCCTGCATGAGCATTCCCAAGTGCTTCTGCAGTTTCTAGCACATCAATAATCCTTGCTGCTGCATGGATCTCTACCCCCTACCACTAACAAGACAGCAGACCAAAGGACCTCATTAGCAGACTGTCTCTCAAACGGTGGCATGCTGCCTCCAGGTCTGTCTTCAGCAATCGTGATTTTATCCCCTCACCCCTCCAAATCTTGTTTAAAGCTGTAACTGCACCAGAGGGGAAAGTGCTGCAGCCGAAAGGCTGGGACTGGGTTTTCTGGTTCTGTTTGTTGTTAATGCTGTAGTTGTTGTTGTTTGCTTATTATACACACCAGTAAAGAACTGTTATTCCTATTCCCATATCTTTTTGCCTGAGAGCCCCTTAATTTCCAAAATTATAATAATTCGGAGGGAGGGGGTTCATATTCTCCATTTCAAGGGAGAATGGAGAATATGAACCTTCCCTAGCAGACACCAAACCAAGACAATCAACGAACCCAAAATGAAGATGGTTTCATACCTATGGATTTAGCAAAAACAAACTCACAGATTCATTGCATGCCTCCGTCTATCAAAAGGCAACCATGGCAATGGTGGTGTAACTATACATCCCTGCTGCAAAGGCCACTTTGAGAAGAGTTAAATATTTAACACCATACTTAATGCCCATCTTCTGCCACAGGTGGCAGCCAATGACTCTCTGAATGAGTAAGCAGGGGTCTGAAACAGCCAGTGACTCAAGGAAAGGAAATTACTACCCTTTATCACTTCCGTAGATTTTTCTTTCTGCTCTTTTTAATACTTAGAAAGAAAATCAATTAAAGTCTATCCTTGATGAATTACCTCTTTTAATTTCCCATCCAAGCTTTGATTCTCAGTACCTGATCAGGAAAAGCATAATAAGCAGCCACTCGCCTTATCTGGCAGTCAATACCTAAACTTAGTCACTCTCTTTCCTGGCACTGATTTAGATACAAGAAAGGAAGACAAATAGTGTATTCTGGATTAGCTGCATTGGAAATACTATAGAAAAGCTCATTTACAATTAGTGATAGAGTGCGACTTTTGCAATTTGAAAGAAAAGTTCAACCTCAGGAGAAAAGATAGAGGAGGTCAAGTTGTATTTCAAACTTTTTCCATTTTTTTTTTTATTGCTTTTCTTTTTTGGATTTTTCCCTGGTGAAGGAGTAAGCCATTAAATAAGGTGACATAAGATTTTACTCTGATTCCTAGGGATTAAAGAAAGCAAAGAACCTGCAAGTGCAACCATCTAATATTAAAAATACAATAGCAGTGCTACTCTGTCTCTTTCCAGTTACAAAGGAGATTATTAACCTATGCTAATTCAAAATACACTCTTCAGAAAAGAAAGACTAAATACTACTCTGGGAAACTTTTTCCAAGTAGTTCAGGGTATGTAATGAAATGCTAATTTATTCAAAGCAATGCCAAAAGGCAAACTACTAATTAGATAAATGTTGTGCTGTCTCTATGGAGATTAGGAGATTTGCCCACAATTTCCATTTATACTGCATAATTAGAGAAAAGAAGTTGTGCCTTACTAATATCTTGTGACTTTAGTGTACAAAAAGCACTATGGGAACAGGAAGTCTTTCATTGACAAAATAAGTAAGAATAGTACATTGTACCTATGTTCATCTCATTTTCATAGTTTCAGCTGAACATGGTATTCATTCAGGCTTTAAGGCACTGTACATTGCATGCTGTATTTGTTAGCAGGAGTTACGGTAATGAGAGAAATGGCAATATCTTTTATTTCCCTTACTTAATTCTGAGTCTTGCCAAAAAGTTGGGTGTTTTTTATTCTCTTTCATGTGTACACACAAAGATGGAAGTGATCAAAACAACACTAACTTTAGAAGTTAAGGTAAGTATTAAGGCAATGAACTCTTAAAATCTTCCTTATATAGGATTACTTTGCTACTCTGCCTCCAGCTTCACTTGTACACATATATTACAGGCAGAATACAAAAAGAGAAGCCACTTCATGAATTATTTTTAATTAGTAAATTGACTGCATTTTTCAACACAAAGGATGGCTGATGTTCTCTCATTAGTGCTTATTAATAACAATTCAGGGCGTTGATCCCTTCCTTCTGCCCAACATTAATTCCATGTTTATCTGCTATACATCACTTCTCCTGTCTCTACAGACTGTCACAAATAGCCCCATCTAGCTCATTGATTACATGCTTCTCCCACTGAGCATAATTCACATTGAAATCCTTATTAAAAAACATCTTCTTTTAGGAAAATCAATAGGCAGAATTCCTACAAACAATCTTTTAAAGAATATTTAACTGAGCTGTTTTACATCACCATGAATGAGACTTCTATTCAGCTTTTGAGAAATCATTTAATTTAGCCTTTTTATTCATAATTTTCTTTAAACATTCCTTACTAGTCTCAAAATTCTGGTCCTCATTTTGTTATTAAACTGCATAATTAATTTATACTACTGCCAAAAGGTGAAATTCTCCAAGACCTTTTCAAAATCTTACAAAACCATTTGTTCTAAAAGTCTCTAACCCATCCCTCCAAATTGTTCATCATTTTTTGCATGACACTTTACTGTACTGCCAAGAAGACCCAAAAGGTTGATACAAGTTTAAATAGAACTCATCCTGTAGTCTTTTCCAAACTTTCCTATAATCACATTAAAAGAATACTATCAGTATCATGGAACCATAAACAGAAATAAGCACCATCAAATGGGACAAAAGTAATGCTACTTCTGTGAGTCAAACACAGGGTTACTCAATAATCAATCTTCTGCAAGATTTCAAGGTTTTTGATTTTAGTATAAGCATCAAATGGTATCAAAAAGCCATAAAAAAAACTATGTGTTCATTTCAATTACATCCTCATCTTTGCAAATGAACAGTTTCTTTGGAAAACATCCATGGTATATTTTTGAATCCGTATGGAAATTTTTGAAATCTCAACAAAGAGTGGGACTACCTAGGAGTAGTCTCATTCACACAAGTGAGGAAACAAAAACACATGCAAAAGAAAAACAGTCAAAAAAATAAGTGCTTTAGTCAGACTCACCAGCTGTGGATAGTCAGACCTGCGCACTGGGTTTACAGGAAGGAATCAAAGAAATTAAGACTGTCTGTACGCTGGTCATCCTCATTAAAAATGTAACTGATGTACTAATTATCATCTTCAGTTTCATCCTGAAATGGTAAGATCTGTACTCTGTCATGACAAGACCCGTATCAAGAAGTAGCAGTTGCTTAGGTGCTGATTCACTGAT